GTGTGCCACATTTTATTGAAAATGGGATCTTAATATGTTTATGTTTATTAAGGATCCCCATTAGCTTTTGCTCTTGAAAAAAGCTACTCTTCCTGGGGTCCGACACTTAAAACAATACAACAATAATACAACAATAACACAACAACATTCAAGACATAATTCCTGACATCATTAACAACATCACCAATATCATCAACAATTTCCAACATCATCAACAATCTCATCCACTTTCAATATCAATCTCTGCCAAGGATGAGCGCACTAGACACCCACCAGTACAAAGCATGAGATCAAATTAAATTAGGGTTCACAGCTCACAAGGGTACATGGTCATTAGTAGATGGCCCTTCAATCTCTTCTTGAAAGAGGCTCTGGACTCTATTTCAGCAAGGTAGTTTGGCAATGAGTTCCATTCCTTTATAGCTCTATAAGACACAGAAGATTTCAGAAGATTTGTCCCGGGTTTAGGTGCCCGTAGATGGCCTGATGTAGCTTGTCTAGTCTTATGGTCATGCTCATCTCTTGTGAAAACTATTTGATCATAAAAATACAGTGGTCTTTTGCTAAATTGGACATTACTAAGAGAGAACAATCCAATATTTGAATGATAAAATTAAAATGTTTGGGTATCCTTTTGTTGAACTGTTTGTTTAAAATTAATCGAAGCATCAGACTAAAAAGGCTTTTAAAATAATACTATATTTTTATTTAGCTTATATATAAACATCTACATTTTTTGTGCCCAACCACTTTTGTACATATAAAAACGTCACTGGTTACCTAAGTATAATCAGGAATAGTACTTAGTGCAGAAAAAGGATAATTGTGACTTCTACAATATATTATATTAATATTTTATTATAACTCCCGCATTTAGCAGGACAGCAGGACATTACTTTTTTAGTAAGTGGAGCTCATTTGTAATAACTACTTTACAGTAAGTAATGATTGTTTGTGTTGTTAATTATTTGTTTGAGTAACACCATCATAATTTCCCAACATGACATATTTACAGTTTGTATTTTGTTTGTAAATTAAAAGAAATCACAATTTTTTTATTACAAAAAACAGCAAATCTTCACTTTATCATGCTTTTTCATACGTTTTTCATATGTTCCATATGCAAAGATATTGATTCTTAAAGCACTGGTAACTTAGTAAAGTCAAGTAAAACAGTAAGGTGAAAGACATTTTCCTCTGGAACATAGTTGAGTGGAAGTATAAAGTTAAGAAAAAAAGACTTGAGTATAATACAAATACCTAAAATGTGTACTAAAGTAATGTAATTGAGTTACATCTGTGTTACTAACATAAAGCTACAGCCAGTAGCCACTTAGCCTAGCTTAACAATAAGACACATTACATCGAGTTTGTAAAATAAAGTTCAGATTCAACAATACATAACCCTAACTATAACAACTTTAACTATACTGCTGTTTTGATATGACTAAAGAAATGACGTATAGGATGTTAGTGTTTGAGTTTGGATTTAAACTAAGCTAAACTAGCCTACAGCTTCATTTTTGACAGATATTTGTTATCAGCAAGATAGTGAATAAGAATATTTCCCAAAATGTCAAACTATTTAAGTTTAGATAAAAACTGTATAAGTTTATACTGTTTTTATTTATATAAAGCCCTCTTGTAACTTTCTAGGAGCATATTATGGTGCTGTATTACCTTTTACATCTCTCTACTTACTCTCTCTGTTCTTAGGTTTCCCGATCATTCCTGCCGCCACGTACGCTGTGGCTCGCGGTTTCTTCTTCAACGACAAGTGAGATGTAGCATGTTTATTTTTATTTTATTGTCTCAAATGTGTCAGATCAAGGCCAGAAATGTTGCAGTGTGTTCTCACAGTGACATAACTCCAGACTGGGATTTCTCCCTCTCCCCTTCCTGTGACCTTCTTATTCTCTGTTTGATCAGGATGATAGGATTTGTAAGATATTGATTTGCCTCATCAAGACGAATTTGCGTAAACCCTTTGTTTGCTAAGTGTAGCAGCGATGACTAATGATTCAGGCTCTGAAAGCCCCCAGGCTTATTTGAGTCACTGTGCATGAGTATTTGTAATTTGTATTTGTTCCAGGTGTTGGATCAGCTCACACACACACCTGCTCTATATCATCCATGGGCCCATTCAGGCTGCACTACTAGTGAGTAATTAACACACATGGTAGCCTCTTTGTGCCTACAGTATATTGTGTTATAAACACAATTATTATGCATTATGTCTACCCTTTGCACCTTCGAATTATAGTCATACAACACTTTTAAACATTGAATGCTTTTTAACAATAATCACAACACATTATAAAGCATTTTAGAGTTACTTATAAGGTCAAATATCATAAAACTTAATAATAGATATATACTCATTGACTTTTTTTATATGCAAGGATCATAGTTGAATATAATTCCCTTAGATGCAATAAATTATATTCGTTGTATATTGCATTTTAATGAGATTATAAGTTATTGTTATTGGATGCTTTAATTGAAGTCATTACATTCCTAAGGTATAAGCGGATATATTATACATTACAAGCCGGTTATAAAATAATACAAAATATATCAAATATATAAAATATAGATATATAAGTATAGGCCGATATGTTATATGTAACAAGCACAAAAATAAGTACATTAAAAAAACATGAAAATATCAGTGACTGACCAGAAACTATAAATTGTTATTTTACTTTGGTGAAGCCATTATAAAATGATATATAATATGTTGTGATTATTGCTATAAAGCTCTATGAATATGTATTGATGCTTATTAAAATATATTTATATAGTGCTGCTATAAGCAGATTATATTGTAATACAAGTATGTTTATATTGTATTATAGACATGGGTGTCAATTGTATTATTATATTTTATATATAGACATACACATACAGTACAAGTTACCATACATGTAAAATAAAATAATACATTCAAATCTATTCAGAGCAATGTTATATAATGTAAGACTTACATCATTGCTATTTTCAGATTTAGTTTTGCTCTCTACACCCATTGCAGAATGATGATATATATATATATGAATGAGTACTTTTCCTTCAAAACGTTTGATGTAAATGCACCATGGTACAGACGCAAATGCACAGTCAATTCAGATCATTTATCAGTTACAATGCACTGCTTTCATTGCCATTCTTTATATTAATATGCCACTACGCAGACTGTATTTGGTATTTGATATGACTAAGTTACTTTGTAAAGGTAAAAGACTGGGGCAAAATATGTCATGAATGTGTAAGGTTGTCTTTTTGCCTTTAAGTGGTTTAACTATTGCCAGGTAATTGACATGTTCTTTTAAAGAAAAGGAACTTCATGTTATTTAAAGTTGATGTTTTAGTGCCACCATCAAGCAAATCAATGCAATTTTTTCCCCCTTCAAAAGTCAAATCACAGATTAAAATATTTGTCCCTCTCTTCTCTTCCATTTTAATTTCATCATCCATGTAGGTCAACTTTTTCTTTCTCCTGAACATTGTACGTGTTTTAATCACCAAGTTGAAGGAGACCCACTGTGCTGAGTCCACAGCCTACATGAAGGCCGTGAGAGCCACGCTCATCCTCATCCCTCTGCTGGGAGTCCAGTACATCCTGTTACCATGGAGACCCGAGGGACGCATCAGCCGAGCCATCTATGACTTCTTTGTCAATATATTCTGCCACTTCCAGGTACAGGCAACAATACACTGCAATTTAAAGTTTGCACAAGCTGCTGAACAGAGACTCATGTGATGTATCGAAAAAACTTCTATGGTGACGTTAAACATAATTCATTTGACATTAATAATCTGCATGTTTCTTTTAAGATTTTACATTTTCTGTACCAAACATATATGGTTTTTAGCATGAAGACCAAAATGGGGACTATAATAATGATGGCAAATGAAAAAATGGTCTCCTTCCAATGCCAACCAAAGTGGAGTACATAAGCAATGGAACAAAATATGTTCCGAACAATTTATACACAAATAGTTGTATTAAATCTGGCATTCAACTCTTTCCATTGTCATTAAGCAACATCAAACTAAAAAGCACTTTAAACAGATTCCACTACAGAATTTTGCTACATTAGTATCCCCTCTCTCTCCTCCTTTCCTGTCAATGTTCATCTGTCATATCTATTGCCAGTCAGGGACTACAGAGGAAAAATAGCCTCTTGGCTAACACTGGCATTAATGTGCAATGTCCCTGTTAAAAATAAATAAATTTTTAAAAGTAAAAAAAAAAAGAAGGCAAAAAACAGTAATCATTTTGGCTTCTTTCTGAGGGAAATATGATCTTCAGCTGCTGTGTATTATCATTAATAAAACAGCTTTCTAGAAACGTTATCTTTGCTTTTTCTTTGTAAAATTAAACCTGAAGATTCATATACATTTATTATTTACAGGATAATCTCACTGACATCTGTTCCTGTATGAATATTTAACCACTGTCCCATTGCTTTGCAGGGATTCCTGGTGGCAATTATATTCTGTTTCTGCAATACTGAGGTACATTAAAAGGGATCATACAATAAATACAAGATCATGTTAATATTTATATTCAAAATACTGCATGTAACCTCTAATTACTAAAAACGTAAACATTATTACATTACATTGCATTTAGCTGACGCTTTTATCCAAAGCGACTTACAATAAGTGCGTTCGACCAACAAAGTACAAACTTGAAGAAAACAGAATCATATAAGTACATCAGGTTTCATAGAGCTAAAAAATTTCAAGTGCTGCTCAACTGGCTTTAGATAAGCCAGTCCTTTATTAGTATATAAGTGCTTTGTTAGCAATTCTTTGTTAGTAATTATATCGATCGAAGTGGAGAGTCGAAAGAGATGAGTTTTCAGTCTCCCCCGGAAGATGTGCAAGCTATCTGCTGTCCTGATTTCAATGGGGAGCTCATTCCACCTTTTTGGAGCCAGGATAGCAAACCCACGTGTTTTTGCTGATGGGAACTTGGGTCCCCCTCGCAGTGCGGGTGCAGCGAGCTGTTTGGCTGATGCAGAGCGGAGTGCACGTGCTGGGGTGTACAGTTTAACCATATCCTGGATGTAGGAAGGGCCAGATCCATTCGCAGCATGGTACGCAAGTACCATTGTCTTGAAGTGGATTCTAGCAGTTACTGGAAGCCAGTGAAGGGAGCGGAGGAGCGGCGTGGTGTGGGAGAATTTAGGAAGGTTGAAGACCAGACGAGCCGCTGCATTCTGGATGAGCTGCAGAGGTCAGATGGCACATGCAGGTAGACCAGCCAGGAGGGAGTTGCAGTAGTCTAGGCGAGAGATGACGAGAGCCTGGGCCAGAACCTGCGTCGCTTTCTGGGACAGGTGGGGACGTATCTTCCTGAAGTTCTAAAGCGTGTATCTGCAGCAGCGGGTTGTAGCAGCGACGTTTGCAGTGAAGGACAGTTTGTTATCTAGGATCACACCCTGATTCCTTGCAGTCAGAGTCGGGGAAACAACAGAGGTGCCGATGTTGATTGTTAGGTCAAGAGTGGGACAATCTTTTTCCGGAAGGAAAACCAGTTCAGTCTTGTCAAGGTTGAGCTTGAGG